ACTGCCAAGACGCTAGGCCTGCTGATGGGCAAAGAAGGTGTCCATGGCAGTTTCATCAACAAACAATGTTATGAAATGGCCTCCCACCTTCAGCGTTCCCAGTACCGACCTCCTTTGATCCTTCCCCTGCACTGCTTCCCACAGCTTTGCCCCCCTTTCCTTCTCATACACACACCATTTTAATTTCGGGAGCCATTATTCCATACACTTTATTGTTGCCAAAACCACATGGGCTGGGGGCCAGGGATAGATGGAAAGACACCTTCTCCTACCCATACCCCTCTTGTGTGTGGTTGGAAAACTTTTTTGTTTTGAGGGATTTTTTATAAATAAAAAATATTCCACTAAAAAAAAAAGGTCTACACAACTACTCCAAGCAGGCTATTCCATCTGTCTCCCATCCACAGACCCTGACATTCCATCTCTTCTGAGAATCCTAAGTAACCTTCCCCCATGGCTTCAGCCCATCTCCCTAAGAGGGCATGGGTTTCAGACTTGTAAGATTCAGGTGAACCTGCTTGCAAAACTGCAGTAATTTATTCATTCCTTTTAACTCTTCTAAAGGTCTTTGAGTTTGAAGTACCTAACAATGTTCTAGATCTAAGGCTCTTAAGAAATGTTTCTCTACCTGAAGACAGCAACTTCTGGTCCCAGTAGTAACCAATCCTTGTCCTTATTTCCAGGCCTGCAGCAGCCCAATGAAAAATTTTATAAATCTACCAGCAAATTAAAACCAATGCGTTGCACACTAAATATTCAATTGTTCATTGTTTTAGCATCCTCTTTATTCTCAAAAGTATCGATGATTAGATGATAAATTATATGGTCAGGTTCTTAGCCTTGCAACCATTTGAACCCATCTTTGTTCCACTGAAACGATTCTTGCTGAGAGATTAATGACATCTGTGTTGCCAAATCTCAAATGTACTTTCCTGTCCTTATTTTCCTTGACCTCTCTGAAGCATTCAGTAGTGTTGTGAATTTTCTTTTTGACATACATTCTCTTCTTATGATTTCTATTATATAACATTTATTTAGTTTTATTTCTACCCCTCTGTCTGACCTCACAATATTCTATCCTTAACCATGTTATACAATCTTTTTTTTATTATTGTAAGAGACACATAACACAAAATTTACCATCCTAACCATTTTAAATGTACAGTGCAGGAGTATTAACTTTATGTTTTCCTCTTGTTATTGATTGGAGTTTCATTTCATTATGGTAGGAAAAGATACTTGGTATAATTTTAATATTCATAAATTTGTTAAGGGTTGTTTTGTGGCCTAACATGTAATTTATCCTGAGTAATGTTCCGTGTGCTTTGAAAACAATATGTATTCTGCTACTGTTGAGTAGAATGTTCTACATTGTATCTCTTAGTTCTCATTAGTCTCTTTCAAGTCCTCTCTTTCCTTATTGGTCTCTGTTCTGGTTGTTACATACATTACTAAATGTGGGATATGGAAATCTCCTAATATTGTGGTATTACAGTTTACCTCTTCCTTCAGATTTATAAATAATTGTTATCCATTTAGGTGCTCTGATGTTGGGTACATATATTTTTTAATTATTATATCTTCCTGGTGAATTGATCCTTTTATTATAAATGTCCTTCCCTGCTTCTTATTACAGTTTTTGACTTAAAGTATATTTTATGTGTTATAAATATGGACACACCTGTTTTTTGGGGGTTATCATTTGCATAAAATATCTTTTTTTGTTTTTTCACTTCCAGGCTATATGTGTTTTAACATCTCAAATGGATTTTTGTAGACAGCATAAATTGCCTTTTGTTTTGTTTTGACTGCTTTTTATCCATTCAACCACTCTGTGAATTTTATTAATTCAATCTATTTACATTCAGAGTAATTACTGATAAGGAAGGGCTTACTATTTTCATTTTGTTAGTTGCTTTCTATGTGTCTTACAGTTATTTTTTTCTCTTTTCCCCTCATGCCATCTTTCTTTGTATTTCATTGATCTTTTAAAAATTGATATGTTTGTATTTGTTTATCTTTCTTTTGTGTATTTTCTATAGGTATTTTCTTTTTGGTTACCATGTGGATTACAGAAAACATCTTATATGTAGTAACCATATATTTTTGACTGATAACAACCTCAATCATATACAGAAAGTATTTTTTTTACATTTTCCCCACTTCTTCATGTTATTAATTTAACAAATAATTATTATTAATTATGAATTTTTTAAAGAAAGTAAAGTACGCTTAGAGGAGGACCAACAGGCAACAGGAAAGATCCAAGTGCCTTCACAAATTATATCATATCATATTTTTATTCATTAGCATAGTTTTATTGTTGTGATTTTTCTTTCCTTTATCTTTTAAATTTTATTCCTGCTTTAAAAAAGACTAATATGCTACCATTACAGTATTACAGGATTTTGTATAGATATACATAAAATTTTGTGTATATCTGTTTTTGTGTGCTTTCATGTTGTTGTCTAGTATCCTGTCATTTTAAATTGAAGAACCTTTTTAGCATTTTTTTTTGGTAAGGCAATACTAGTAATGATGAATTCCCTTAGTGCTTGTTTATCTAGGAATGTCTATTTCCTTTTCATTTTAGATGAATAGTTTCAATGGATGTAGTATTCTTGATTGGCAATGTGTGCGTATACGAGTGTGTGTTACTTTTGCACTTTGAATATATTCCTAAGTCTCTTCTGGCCTGTGATATTTCTGCTGAGTGATCTACTGATAATCTTGTGGGAGTTCCTTGGTATATGACAAATCACATGTTTCTTACTGCTTTCAAGATTCTCTCTAGCTTTTGAAAGTTTGAGTGCAATGTGTCGCAGTTTAGATCTCTTTAGATTCATTCTAGTTGAATACCTTTTCATCTTTTTATTTTTTTTAAATTGTCTCACTCTGCTGCCCAGGCTGGAGTGCAGTGGTGCCATCTTAGGTCACTGCAACCTCATCCTCCCAGGTTCAAGCAATTCTCGTGCCTCCCCTACCCACGTAGCTGAGATTACAGGCACACTGAGCTTCTTAAATTTGATTGTCCATTTCCTTCCTTAGATTGAGATAATGTGGGGCTATTACTTTTACAAGTAAACTGTCTCTATCTTTTTTTTCTTCTGGGACTTTCATAATGTGTATATTGGTCTACTTTGCTATACTGTATAAGTTCTTTAGACTTCCTTTTCTTTATTCTTATTTTGCTTTTCTAAGTCAATAATATAAAATGACATGTCTTCATGTTTGCTTATTCTTTTCTTCTGCTTAAGTCTGATGTTAAACACCTCTGCTGAAGTTTTCAGCTCAGTTATTGTGTTCTTCAGCTCCAGAATTTCTATGTGAAAGGTTTTTTTTAAATATAGTTTTACCTCACTGTTGATATTCTTACTTTGTTCATGCACCACTTTTCAAATATTGTATAATTGTCTATCTGCATTCTTCTGTAGTTCACTGAGCTCCCTTAAGATGATTATTTTCAATTCTTTGTCAAATAGTTCTTACATCTTTTTTTCTTGAGAGTCAGTTTCTGGAAATATAATTTAGTTCTTTGACTGGGCCAAAATTTCCTGTTTCTTTATTTCTTCTCCTCCTCCTCCTCCTTATTCTTCGATTTGGACATTGGAAAAAAAAGTCATCTCTCTGTCTTTGTAGACTTACTTCACCCAGAGAAACATGTTTACCAATCTTCCCAGCTAGATATTCTGAGACTTCTCAAATCTTTTCTGGAGATGCATGTTTTCTAGCCTTGTGTGTGAATTTTTTTTTCATTACAGGGGTTTACCAGTTTATTCTCCATGAGACCAAAATCTCTTGCTGCCTCTGGTGTTCTTTTGTGGTACTGATGCTTCTCTGGTGCTGCAGCAATCCACTGAGCTCTCTCTTCTTTTCTGTGGCTCCCAGGCATCCAAAATATATGAGTTTCCATAGTGCTCAAGTCAGGGGAATCAGAAGCTAGTTCCTCAAGTATTCTTTTGAAAAAGTAAAAATAAATTGTCATATGTTTCACTCATTCTTTCCCTTTCAAAGGAGAAACTGTATGTTGGGTGTTTTCTTCCAGTTGCACCAAGCTCTGCTAGCTTGAAGGGATAGCTTTTGAGAGTAAAATACAATAGAGATTCTTAGACATTTTAATGCAGCTTTCATTGATTTTGAACTTAACTGTGGTACTATTACTTCTTAACTATGTCTTGAGTTTTCATAGTGTCTTTTTGGATTATATATTGTTGTTAATTTAGTGTCTCTGTAGGAAATCTATGAGCATGGTTTTGTTTCTCACTGCCACCAAAAATCTCAATATCAGTATAAAATTATTGTTGTCTTAGTCCACTCAGGTTGCTATAACAAAATACTATAAACTGGGTGACTTATAAACAACAGAAATTTATTTATCCAGTTTTGGAGGCTGGAAATCAAACATCAAAGTACTGGCAGATTTCATATCTGATGAAGGCCCATTTCCTGAATAATAGTTGGTGCCTTCTCGCTATGTCCTCACATAATGGAAAGGTCAAATAAGCTCCCTTGAGTCTTTTATGTAAGAGAATTAATACCATTTATAAGGGCTCTACCCTTATTATCTAATCACCTCACAAAAGTCTTACTTCTTAATATTACCTTGAGTTAGAATTTCTACATACGAATTTGGGAGTTACAATCATTTGGGGGGACATTGTGATTGTCATTATCTTAAACAATCATGACCATGTTTTGAATATATATGTCCCACACATTGTATTGGAATTATCCCACACATTTTACCAAATCCTCGCAATTACAGTTTGAATAATTGTTACGATTATTACCTCCACTTTACAAATGAAGAATTCAATGGAGAGACAATACATAATTTGATTAAAGGCAAACAGATAAGAGATTAAAGAACAATATTTTTTCCCTAACTTCAGAAAAAAAAATATGACTCCTGTAATACATTCTGTTTTCTCAAGTGAAACATGGCAGGCACCCTTCTCTTTTTCAGGCACTTCTGGTCTCTTTAAGGAACTATCACCAGGGTGCTCCACATGTAAACACATGTAAACACACACATATACATGCATAGACACACACACACACACACACACACACACACACTGCAATGCATGACCCTGACTGAAAAACAAAAACAAAAAAAGAACAAAACAAAAACTCTACCTATAGTAAAATCATGTCAATGGAGGAGAAAGCAGTGAGATGCCACGAGGCATCTGTTTTTTGGCAATTACTTCTTAAGTGAAATTGGAGTTTCCACCTTGGAAATCTGACTCATCACAAGATGACAATGAAACTCATGTCTTGTGCTTTTAATGTATATTTAACTTTCAGGCTGGTTAAAAGGGTCTAGAGGGGACAAGAGA